AACCAGTTTCTAATCGTACTGCTGCCTTTATTAAATGTAATTAAAAAATGAATTAAGCTGAGTACTACGATTATTTCTCATTGTTGGAAATTATATAACTATTTGAAAGATGAGGATTATATTCATGAAACTGTAAATCACAAATATCATTTTGTTCAGTTAGTGGAGCACACAGCCAGCATATTGAATGAGCGTGGCGAAAAGTATAAAACAATATTCCTTGATTTGACGTAAAAAAAGAACATTATATCAATTATTTAGCTGAATTTATGTTTAAAAGAAGATTTGATTTTCATGAGTATTAATAGTTTTTGATATTATGACTAATACTATAAGTTGTATTCATTATCAGACTAAAATACATTTTATACTAAAAAGTTGATATTTATTTTTTGATTTTTTGCTTTGTTATGTTATACATTCACATATATACTTTATCTATCGTATTCATATTAGCCTCATTCATTTAGTAAGGCGGAAATTTAATAGATTCAATATACACCCACTTGCATAAAGAATTTTAATAGATATATTCAATATACACCTTCTTGCGTAGTTTGTCTAATTTGTCTTTTTGATATCTATTACTTTTAATATATTGTAGACTCATTTATTTAACAAGGAAAATTTAATGTAATACATAAAATTTAATGTAATACATAAAATGTATGCGCATGTGAACAAGTGTACGTCACCTAAGAAAATTAAACTGAACAATTATCTTATTTTATAATTCTTATTCTATAACTCTTATTAATAACTTGTTAATAATTTGTTAATAACGTTGATAAACAGTGATCAACTAAAATCTTTTAAAGGTTACTCAGGATCGTGACCTTGCGAACATATGTCAAGATTGAGATTATCGAGGTTTGTTTTTTATGATAAAGATTACTTTTAACCTTTTATTTTTACCTTTTTTTAAGTATTGGTAAAATTGTAAATCTAAATATCTTAGAAACTATAAGAGACCGCCGACTAGTTTAAAAGAAAAAGTTGATCAGTATCTTCACTTTATAACATATGTCAAGTCATCGAAGAGGTGTCTCCTAATGTAAAGGTTTACCAACAAATCTATATAAAAAAATTGCGAAATACACAGCTACAATTCGTTTACATAAATTTTTTAACCTAATCGAGTATGGCAAGTCCAATAGATCTGAACATTTCTTTCAATTAACAATAAAACAAATTTAGCGAGCATCACAAGTAATAAATTATTTTTTTCAAATAAATAATGCGTAATGATAACAAGTCATTTTTCAAAAGTGACATTCCCAAACTTAACTTTTAGTTAGTCATCGTTATCGTTATAAAAAATTGCAACATCATTATCAAATTGTTATTTTAAGAAGAACGGCAAAAATAATGGTAAAAATAACTTTCCCTGCATTTATGTTTCATATTTTATGTTATTATTTTATCTAGCAATCTACTGAAAAAATAAATATGTATTTTTATTATTTACATAAAAATATCCAGTCTAAAAGGTCTATATATGTGAAAATCTAATGTGTAATCCTAAGATTAAAACTAGCCGAAGTAAGGAAAGCCACAGCGGATTAAAAGTAGTACGAGTAAGCGTATAAGTCCGACGCAAAGAGGTCAAGACTTTCCTTAATCTTTACTCTCGAGTAGATGATGACGTCGTACCGGAAAAGGTATGTGACTCTGCAAGGGGTAAAAAGTAAAAAACCATTTTACTTGAGACGAATGCGAAGTAGATTGGTTACTGGTAAAAGCATCGAAAACTATCTGTACTCTGTATCGTAACAACCTGACTTTGTGGATAATTCATGAAAAGCAAAAATGTTTTTTAGTCAACTTTCTCTCGACTCTAATAAATGAATAGTTTCATCACACGAATAGTTTATCTCTGCAAAATCCTTAATTTCGAGCGTTACGTACACGCGTTACAAATTAATGCTTTGTAGATAATTTAAGGAAAAAACAGGGTTTTGCGACACTACTTTTTTCATCAATCGCAATTGCTTGCTTTCGCATTGAAATTCCAATGAGTTTCCCAACTACATCGAATTTAATACGAGTACGCTTGTAAATTTACGAGTACATGCCGAAAACGAATGGCGTTAAATTAAAATCTTAAAAGTGAACAGCACGGAATAAAATCTTAGTAATATAATGCTCTCGTTTCAGGAACATTCAAGTTGGTTTTGCATAATAACATGTATTTTTTCTTTAAATTAAAACATTGATATTAACCTGGAATTAAATCATGAGCTTTAAATGGAAATCCTCGTGGTACTATCAAACAAGGACCGAGCGTATATTCGTACACGCATTACAGCCACGTCTTGACGTTCATCTGTGGATTAACATTTGTGTAAGGAGCAAAAGCACAGAGAAACGTCAAGGATATTTCCTTGATGTTTAATAACCATGCTATGCTAAAAGCGGAGAGTAAGACGCTGCTCCTGCTTCTACTTCTCTCTCTCTCTCTCTCTCTCTCTCTCTCTCTCTCTCTCTCTCGTTCTCGCTCTCTTATACGTTTGGCGGCAACAACGTTGCGAATTGTAACTGCATGTATATATACCTCGAAACGAGATATACGTTTAAGATTGAGATACATCTTGTGCAAGACGTGTCATTCATATTTTCCAAAATTCAACGAAAATCTCAAACATTTTCGAGAGATAGAATATTATCATTTCCAGAAGTGGATATTTCTATTGAAAAGTATAAAAGTATAAAAAAAAGTATAAAACTATAAACACATTTTACAAAAATAAAAATTACAACTATTAAAAGCATGAAACATAATTTAAATCGACAATATTTCTGAAAATAATGTTTATCATTCTGTCATTTTTTTTGAAAAGAAATATATATTATTTGAAAGACATTTTTACACGTATATAAGATAGTCCGCATGAAATCGCGAAGGCAAAGGAAGAACAATAGGGATAGAGGTAAAAGCGACGAAGGGAAGAAGTGATGTGGCGAGAGAAATGCGATCGAACTTCGTTCAAAACTTTATCTTTGAGAATAGAATAGAGGAATTGAAACGTCGAATGTATGTATGGTAGTTCGGAACGAAAAACACTCGGCATTCCTTTCAAGCAAGATCAAACTCAGATCTGATCAGATCTCCACACGAAAGACTAAAACTCTATTCGAAGGAACAATAATCCGTGCCCAGCTTTTGCAACGCTTCTACAACAGAAGGAACAAAAAGATGAAACGTGGCCTCGCCTCACAGTCTATATAAGGACATTTTATTATCAGTATTATGATCTTTATGACTTTATAAACATCGTAAATGCGCTCAAAACGTCATCTCAGGCGTAGATGCGTTTGCCTTTGTAATATTCGCCTGTTGGAAACATGGCTCTTGAACGAATAACCCGTCGAAGTGGGTCACAGCGAAACAAAAAAATGTTTTTTTGTTCATTAATTTCACTACCATCTTGTTCTATTCCCCTAAGCAAAACCTTCTAGATTTCTATGTCGCTTATGCAATCACGACTACTCATAAATGTATTATTCTCTTCATGAGTCGCATTAATGCGCAGTCAGGAGGAAAATTTTGACTAGAATTTTACTCAAAATTACAAAGAGATTCATTTTAGCGTTTGAATATTTTTTTCCTTTTGAAAATAAAATCGGTTAAAAATTCATCTGACGTTTGATATATTGTTATTAAGACCATTAGAAAATTTATGCGATGGCTCGCATAAACATGGATTTAAATCCCCATCATTATCGTCATCATTATCCATCCTTCTCGTATTTCAACCGCTTGCCGTCGAAAACACGCACGTATACCATTCCGTAAACAAAATTATCCTAAAATTTATGTTGACGTTATATAATGTTACACGACACATTAATAAGACGAAATAAAATGTTACACGATTTTATCTTCTGAGACTTCTCAAGAGAACGTTGCGACCGAATATTGTAAAAACCCCGAAAATGTAAAAATGGAACCGTTCATAATGGCATTTAAAGAGTACCATAATTTCACGAGAAGAAGAACACGATCCTATAATGTACGACTATGAATTGACCTATATCGTTTCGCCAAATAACCTGTCTATTGGATATTAGAAAATGGATTTCGCGCAACTGCTTTCATCGTTTTATTGTCTGAACGACGAATCGACATTCCTCCACACGAACTTCCTTTCGTCGAATTGCAGGAAGACACGCTCCACCAGCAGTTTCCATCTTCTTCCTCCTAGCACCAATCTTTGCTCGCTTTCGGTAATACGAATTTTACGATTTAATCTCTCTCTC